TTTTTTTTCAGTACAAAAGATCATTATACCAAATTAAATCATGCCTAACTTCTTTACACCTAAATGTCAATCAACCAAAGTTAATTCCAATGTGTAAGAAAATGACACACACAAATATTGCTATGAAGCGGTCTGATTGAGTTGTATATAAATATATTTTTTTAAGACGTTACACACTTTAAATCATCGTTATTATATAAGAATAAACATATAAACGAGACAAGCTCGAACTTATGATATTATGATACTCGAGCCTTTAGCTTGAGCCTTGATCGAATCTAGTCGGGATCGACTCGTTAACTAAACGAACCTCGACTTCAGCTCAATTATCAATATTAACGAACTGAGTTCGAGCCTACAATCCGAACTCGAGTCAAACAATACATAAAAATTTTCCATTTCGAAATCCTAGTGAACAAATTCGCCATGGTAACTAACTAGCTCGAATTTGGCTCGTTAATCAAATGATTCAATCCTAACTCACGAGCAACTTGTTTTTATTAGCTCTTCGTGAGAGATAATTTAAAAAAAGAGCCCTCCATCTTCATCACATAAACCTCAATATTTTTTTTTTTTCTTTTGTTTTTAAAAATGGCTAATTGAAGAAGAAAAAAAAAAGAAAAAAATAAATAAATTAATGATTTAAATCAAAGCCTCTATACTTGCTCGTTTCGCCACTTTACAAACAGGGCATGACTCAAGCAACGCCTCACAGTCCCTGCACGAGCACAGATGCTTGCACGGCAGCATAATCATACACGAAACCCTAACATTGCACATCTTACAAATCATTTTCCCCTCCAAATTCCCAAGTTTACCCATCCCATCGCCGTCTCCAGGACAGCAGCACGACTCGGCGTCTCCGGCCGCGCCGCAGCCGCCACCGGCCGCTTCCCGCAGCCGATTGATCGCGCTGCTCAGAGACGCCGCCGCCGCCTCGCTCTCCCTCGCCGCACTCTGCCATGTCTGCCTCTCGATTTCCATCCTCCTCAGGTAATCCTGGAGCTCCGCCGTCCTTTTCCCGGCCTTTTCGATTTCTTCATCTTTTTGCCTGATTATATTTTGGATCTTCGATTCGTATTTCTTCATGAACTGCGACGTTTGCTGTCTCCTCTTCTCTTGCACCGCCATTCTCAATCTCTCATTCTGTTTCAAATCGAAAATCTTATAATTGAAAAATCATGAATCTCAACGCTCGATTATTCCGCCTTATGAAGAATTGTACCTGTGAACTGATGAACAGATCGATTTCGTTTCTCTGTTTGTCAAACTGAGCACAAACTGTTTGATAAAATGCCCCTGAGAGCTGATAATCCGTGTTGTACCTTGACATAAATGGTGTTGGTTGACCTGGTGGTACTCTCCGCATCAATTGTTGTTCATCCTGCAATTTCTGCTGTTGGGTTGTGAAATTTAACCCACAGGCATTGTCCGTCAAATAATCTTGAGAGCCCTCAAAGCCAAAACCTGAATACATCTGAGCTTGAATAGCCATTTTTGGATTGTGAAAACAATAATTTTATACACCAAAAATTGCCTTTTTTTTTTGTTTTCTTAAGAACCTTTGAAACCATAAAATGTAAAGTTAGGATTTGGTTGGGAATAAAGAGGAGTTTGATTTGTTCATTGTTTTGAGTGATGGCAAGTATTAGAATAGACTTTCGGCCTTACAAATTAAACTAGTGAGAAAATTTGGCAATAGCTAAGGGGCACACATATATAACGTTATCAATTGTTTGGGGTTTTAGGTAGGCTATAATGGTTTTGGAAGCACATCGTAGACTACATAGATGGTGGGGTTGTCTTTGGTGTATTTAAGTTGGCCAGATTAATGTGGTGAGTTAAATAAATGAGGAAAATGCTATGGTCCCGTTACGGTACCGGTATCATCTCGTCGGATATTTTAACCGTTGAATACACATGTAGTTAATATAAGATAGATGATCCAACGGTTAAAACATTCGACGGGATGGTACAGTGATGAGACCGTAACATTTTCCAATAAATGGAATTAGGTTTTAATAAATTGATGATTTTTAAATTGAAGTACGAGCAACTCACTTTGAATACAATTAGGGTGATCACAATTTATTGTACAAGTCTAATTGTTAGGCGAAGCAAGGTACTTTTTTTCTTTTAATGAAAATGCATATTTATATTTCGAAATGTCATTTTTGTTTATGTTGTTTTTTAGAGTGATATTTCAGTTTAAAAATATACATAATTATCCAAAAAAAATTTTATTAATAGTCCATTGAATTAAAGAATTGTATTCATTAAGAAGAATCAGAAAGTCTATGGAGTCATCCACACCTTTATGTATTGACACGTGTCCAATGTATACTTATTGCATGACACGTGTCAATATACCGTTTGTGGAAAACTATGGACGACTCCATAAGCCGAGCCATCCGATGGCTCCATAGCAAAACCTAGCAAAACCGCATTAAGAATTATTAAATAGTTTTATTTAGATTTGAAGAATCTTATTGCATTTAATTTAAAATTTTCAAAAATTTCTAAAAAAATGAATGGAAGTTGGGGGGCCTGGCTAGGTTAATGGATTTTCCATCAATTTCATTTTTATTTTATTTTTATTATTATTTTTTTTTTTTGTGTGTATCCTTTTCTCTTCCGTTATCTCTCTCTATTCTTGTGATGCAATAAAGAAGGGTGTTGATCAAAAGAGTCGTACACATGCAGATTTTGTGACTTAAAACTATGGGGGGACATACATTTTTTCAGACATTGAAAGGCTTTTAAAATAGTGTGGTTTTTTGCGTGTGTGAAGAAATCAACTCCTAACCTTACATAAATATTTATAGATGAAAAATGGACAGAGTGGATATTTTATAAATATAATGCAAGGGATGTTTGTTATGCTGTATTCAATTTTTTCAAGCAAGATTCAAATTTTCTAAATTATAAAATATAGAAATAAAAATAAAATATGTAAAGAAATAAACTTGATAAAGATTAATATTAAATAAAGTGATTGTATTTTTCTAGTTGTGATGCTATTTTCAACATAATGGCCAAAACTATGACAGCTGATAAACAATACAATGAAGGAAAATATTTGAGCCTTTCGGTGGAATTTGATTTCATTTTTTTGGTTTTCTTCTTCTTCTAATTTGGTGGGATCAGTTGGTTGGTCCATCTCACTAATTAATTAGTCATAGTAATTATTATGTTTTTCAATTTGAAATACTACTATATAAGATAACAAATTTATTTGGTCAAATTAGATGACAAGACCACGATTTTTTGCTTACTTACATAAGTCTATTAAGAAAACAAAATAAATTATGCGTTTTCAGTTTTCACACCGCAATCTGTGCGCAATGAATAAGTGCGACCTCAATATTATTTTTTTTTTTCCTTTTTTTGTGAGGCCACCGACGAAGAAAGATACTTGCGATTTACTCGGTTCATTTAATAAATTGAAAACTTTAAATAAGTTGTTCATAAACAAATTAGGCAATAACAGTGAATTGCTCGCGAACAAGTGCGACTCGACTTGTTAATAAATTAGTTTGATTAGTTGTCCGAGCTCGAGTAACTTAAATTAACAAATAAACCGAATTCCAACTTTGACGAGCCAAATTGAATTGTGCTCATCACGAAGTTTTGTTGAACAGCCTAGTATGAGTAGATTGGGTTAGAATTGGGTAAATTATGGTTTAAATTTTTGAGGAAATAATTTAATATATTAAATTTTTGATTCGTTCATTTATATATTTTAATTTTTCTGCCTCATTATTCGTTGTCTCTATTTTACACATTGGGTTGTATTGCATATAGTGTTGTTAAAAAACAGAGTGTGGCTCAGCTTTAAACGAACCAAGTTCGATTTAAAGCTCGTTTGAATAAAGGGTTGAACTCGGTTCGGCTCGATCAGATTCGCTAAGGCTCGAAAAGAGAGTTTTTTGTATAATTATAAATAGTTCGGTTCGTTAAAACTCGAGACCAGCTCAAACTCGGCACGTTGTTATTAGTGATATACGAGTGGAGGAGCTCTTATTAAGCAATAAAACTATTTGGATAGCCCGTGTCATAATGGGCCTTTCCAGTGGGCTCAGATGGGCTCTGTTAGCATCAACAAGAATTTCAACCATCAGAACCCGAACTAATAATTATATATTAGTAAAATCAATTATGAGGAAATTATTGGGCCAAGCCTTGTTTTAGCTGCAAATACATCAGTTATGGTCTGACATATAACCGCTTTTGGGCCAGTGCCTCAGCTATAAACTAATACCGCAATAAATTCCAACTGTCCTCATTATGCAATAAATACAGTCAACCACATCAAACATGAAATTTGTGCTATTTATTTGGTAACACTAATTCTATGGAGCAATCGGATAACTCCGTTATGGAGCCATCTATAATTTTATATACTGACACATGTCCAATGTGCATTTATTACAGGACACGTGTCAATACATCATTTGTGAACAACAATGGATGGCTCCATAAGCCGAGCCATCCGATGGCTCCATAGCAAAACCGTTGATCTTATTTGACTTATTATGCCTGATTTTTTTAATGCTACTAGCCTACTACAACCCATCCGGGTCGAATATCGGCCCTTTTTCTGACTTATGCTTGATTTTGTTAATGCTTCTACAACTCAAGCTCGATGAACTAGCCAGATTCAAGGTCGTAAGCCACTTGAATTTGAGCTCAAATCTTAATCGAATAAAGCCAAGTTTGGCTCGTTAAAAAAAAATAAAACTATAAACGAGAACGAGACAAGCTCGAATTTTTACTAGCCGAGCTGCACGTTTCCATGTATATATAAATGCATTTCATTTTCCAAATCTATAATAAACCTAAAATATTAAAAAACAACTATCTAAAGTAGACTGTACACTTTAGGTTTAGGATATTTTCTTAATTCCAATCACATTCATTTGTCGGATACCATAATCTCTTTTCAGAGAGGGAGAAAAAAAAAAAAAAAATCAGTTGTAAGCTGGTCGGAGAGTGGAAATAGCCAAAAAAAAAAAAAGAAAAAAAAATGGGCGCTTTGGATCATCTCTCCAACATGTTCGATTGCTCGAGTGGCCATTCAAAGCACAAAAAACGCAAGCAGCTTCAGGTATATCTCTCTCTTTTTTTTTTTGAACTCTTGTTCGTCCTTGTTTTTTGGGGGGATTAAAAGTTCTAATTTTGTTCTGTATGCATACATTATTTGCTCCAATTATTAGTGATATTATAAGTACTTGTTTTGTCTCAAAGTAATGTTGTCAGTTATAAGATCTGAGTTCAGATCTGAAAAAAAAATAAAAAAATGATAAAAGATTCATGCTCTGTTCTCAATGAAAAATGCCACAACTTTAGACCTTTTGGTGTTCGACTCAAAGCTTGAGCTCGGTTATGTTCATTTACCAAACGAGACAAGCTCGAGCTCTTGTTTATCGACTTGTTTAGTTAACGAGCCGAGCTCGACTTGTTTCACTAAAAGGCTCGAGTATCAATATCTCGAGTTTGGCTCGTTTACACCCCTATGTTATGTATCTCATAACTAATTGGCTAAGCTTCATTTGTTTGAATTGATAATGTTGTCAATTACTAAAATTGCTTTACTTATGTATGATCTCTGTTTTATGATTTTTTTTTTTTATTTATTTATTTATTTTTTTTTCTGCATAGTCTCTAAAGTGGATATTTTGGTGAAATTAATTGCTGAGTTACAAATTGGAAACAAGGTAGCAACATAGAAGGAGAAATTTGATTCTAAGATATAATGTAGAATCTTTTGGACTTGTTACTAATTTTGCAACATAAATTTTGTCAAAAACCTAACAGCATTTATCTACTCTCTATCCATTTGTCTAATCATCAGACTGTGGAGATTAAGATCAAGATCGACTGCGAAGGATGCGAGAGGAAAGTGCGGAGATCAGTTGAGGGAATGAAAGGAGTGACCTCGATCGAGGTCACTCCAAAGCAGAACAAGCTAACAGTGGTTGGGTACGTTGACCCGGATAAAGTAGTGGCCCGCGTGGCCCACCGAACGGGAAAAAAGGCCGAGCTTTGGCCTTACGTCCCGTACGATGTTGTGGCCCATCCTTACGCACCCGGAGTTTATGACAAGAAAGCCCCTTCCGGATATGTCCGAAACGCAGAGGATCCACGCGTTTCGCAGTTGGCTCGTGCGACCTCGACTGAGGTTAGGTACACGACCGCATTTAGTGACGAGAATCCCGCGGCTTGTGCCGTCATGTGATGGGGTTTTTAAGGTTTATGATGTTTGCTTGCTTTTATGTCTTGTTTGTTTGTTTGTATAAGTGTGAGGCTGTTATGGGGGATTTTGGATTGTGTTAGGTTCTTGTGTGACTTTTGTTTGAGATTTTTGATGATTTGGTTGTGTAATGAAGATTTTGTTGATGTCAATGGAGATATGTATGTGTGTGAATGTGTTTGTGTGTGATGATACTTTTTGGTTTAAAGTTTTGATTTGCTTATCAACATGAGGAGCAATAATGGAGGTTTTGTTGGCCTTTGTATGTGTGTGGTCATATGGTGTTGTGTTGTGTTTGCTTTATGTGTTTGGTTTGAGGACAGGCTAAAAGTTGAGTAAGTGAGGCTTTTGTTTGAAATCACTTTTTTTTTTTTTAGGGGGGGTTTTGTTGTATATGCAAACTACCTAAAAGCTAGTTGAATTTTGTTGAAGAAAAGTAGTACAAAAGGATCCCAACCAATTTCAAATTCATTGACTTATGACATTATGCTAGTAATTAATAATTATATCAACAATAATGGTGATGTTTGACAACGATGTCAATTACGGACAAGATATACA